AATTCTTTCAAACCAAACCTTTTTCTTCAAAAGCGTTTTACTTTGTATTTTAGAAAGAAAAAAAAAAGATTAAATTATATAAAAAAAAAAAAAAAAAGGGATGGTAGGAATTGAACCTGGACCTCCAGCTTCAGAGCGTTGGGTACTAACCACTCGGCTAGGCAAACTTATTCACTCACAAAAATTAAGTCTTTGTGAGTGAATAAGTAAAAAAATTCTTTGTGAGTAAATAACTTATTCATATGTTATTTTAGGGGTTCCTAAAGGCTCTAAATTTGGTCTTATATTCTTTTCAATTTACATTAACGATCTTCCAGATAACTTTATATCTAAAGTGACATTGCTGGCTGATGATAATAATTTTTATTCTTGTCTTTATAAGAAGCCAACACTCTCTGATTGCTTGGAAAAGGGATTTGACCTTAAAAAGGATCTCACTTTTACTACAACATGGGACTTACAGTGGCTGTTGAATTTTAATTCAGATAAACACAATTTTTCCAGCTAATCGTTATCACAATAATTTAGATCTATTTATAAACTGCAATGCACTCAATGAGTTATCAACCTTTCAGATCAGTTATCAACCCTTCATTAACTCTCACTTCAGATCTTTCTTGGAACGTATATCAGAACAATTGCAATTCTGCTAAGGTTGTTTCTCTTCATCATGCCAGACACACACTTACTCCAGATTAAATATATATATATATATATATATATATATATATATATATATATATATATATATATATATATATATATATATATATATATATATATATATATATATATATATATATATACATATATATTTTGAAACAACTTCGCTTCTAACAAACCTTTTCTTTCCATTAACTTTCAACACCACTAAGTAGTGTTGGAAGTTAATGGAAAAGAAAAGATGAAGATTGTAGAGTAAGATAACGATTGACAGACAACTTAAAAGATTGCAAATTATATGAATCAGGAAAGCAAGATGATGGAAGCGAATTCCAAAGAACTGATGTTCGAGGAAAAAAACTAGACAAATAAGAGTTTTTGGAGCACTTAGGAACAGTAACAGAAAAAAAATGAGACTTATCTGAATGATGAGTAACAGGAGAGTGAATTTTAGTAGATAGCACAAGAGACGTTAGCTCATTAGTGTAGTGCCCATTATATTATTTGTAGAAAAGAAAAAAAAAGAAGCATCATTACGACGATGTGATAATGGCTGAAGGTTGGCTGCAAAAGCAGGTCCAACTATGTTTACAATGTGTTTTTGCATCTTGTCTAAAAGAGAAAGGGCATCATTAGAAGATCCGCCCCAGATATGGCAACAGTATTCCATACAAGGCCAGATTTGAGATTTATTGAGATAGAGAATATAACCAGGAGTAAGAAAGTGTCAAGCTCAATAAAGAGATGCAACTTTAAAAGATGCTAATTTTGCAATGGATTTGATATATGGTTTCCAAGAAAGATCAGAAGTAAGAGTTAATCCTAGAAGATAAAGGGTTGATGACTCATCAAGTTCATTACTGTTCATAAATATAGGAAGGTCTTAATTATTGCGATAACGATTGGCTGAAAAAAATTGAGTTTTATCTGAATTAAATTGGCTTCTTTTCATTGCAAGAATAAATGGTACTATCATCAGCGAACAATGCCACTCTAGATGTCAGAATACCTGAAAGATCATTAATGTAAATAAAAAAGAGTATAGGGCCAAACAAAATACCTTGAGGAACTCCTGAGGTTACAAAATAAGAAGAAGAGTGCTGTCCATCAAGCACAAATTTTATACTACGATTGGAAAAAAAGGATTTGATAATTGCAAAGATGGTTCCAAAAACACTGTAAAAAAAAAGTTTATGAAGAAGACCAGCAGGCCAAACTTTATCAAACACTTTAAAAATATCAAGAGCAATGACCTCTCCACTTTTATCTAACGCACGATAAAACCTATCGGTTTAATACTGTTAGCTATTCAACGAGAAGTCTAAATCCATACTGATGATCAGGAAGTACGTTATTAGATTCAAGATGAGATTAAATGTTTGTTAAATAAAGATTCAAAAACATTGCTTGGAATAGGAAGAAGACTAATGGGACAGTAGTTAGATGAATCAAATCACTCCTTAGAATTTAAAAAAATAGGGATAACAGATGCTGCTTTCCAGCAGGCCGGAAAACAAGACTCAGATAAGCACTTGTTGAATAGTTTTGAAAGGATAGACGACAGCTCCGAAAAACACTTCTGCAAGATAACAGGTATGCTGTCTGGGCCACAAGCTGTAGAAGAATCTAAGCAGGAAATGGATGCCAAATCCATGCCAGCCTGAACACAAAGTTATGCAAGAAGCACATATGTCAACATGAAGACTAAAGAAGTCTATCCAAAGAAAATCACAGAAAGAGTTCTAGTCAGCTTTAAGGTAGTTGTAAGATATACAATGATAGGGAAACTCTGATGATAAAGAAGAATGACATAAAGGTTTAAAGAAATCAAACTGTGATCAGAGGCACCTAAGGGTGAATGTTGAGAAACTGAGCACTGACTAAGTTCAGAAAAAACAAATAAGTCTAGTTGAGAATGTAAATGATTGTCTGGAAGGGTTGTCTGGAAAGCGAGTCGGAAAGTTGACTATTTAAGTTAGGGATTGAGAAAGGCAAATGCTGTGGGCTTTAATGCCTGCAGAGTCACTGACATTAGAGCCAAGCCATTCAGAGTGATGAACATTAAAGTCACCGACAACAACAATATTGGCTGATGGATAATGAGAGAGGGCTTGGTCAATATGATCAGAAATAACATCAAAAAGAGTGCAGTCTTGAGATGAAGGAAAGCAAAAAAGAACAAAGAGAAAGGTGATAGAGTGAAGTGGTGCTAAACGAAAGCACATAAAAAAGTAGTCTGTGGATTCAAACCTAGTTTGCCAACAAATGGGTGAATTCTTACAAATGTAAATGCCAAGGCCAAGCATGAGATTATTGGAGTCTTTATGAATTAACACCATCAACACTAAGATCATAAGATTAGACAGCTGAACTCAAATTAGTCTCAACAGTAAAAATACAGTAAAAATATATATATATATATATACATATATATATATATATATATATATATATATATATATATATATATATATATATATACGTTTTTAATTACGTATGAAAAAAAGTTTATCAAAGCTTATCTTTTAAGGCGTTATTAAAGTAACGCAAAACGTTTTTAAATTAAGTAACAAATTACTACTAATGATATATATATATATATATATATATATATATATATATATATATATAATTTTACATAAAAATTACACGAGACCTACATGAAATTATTTTTATGAAAGATATATATATATATATATAAATATATATATATATATATATATATATATATATATATATATATATATATATATATATATATATAAACTTAAAGTGGTTTCTTAATGTCCATGCCGTAATATTATGCAAAATAAAAGTGGTTCCCAAATGCCCATATTTCCTTCATATATTTCCTTCTTGTTCATCAGTAATTATTTGTCTACTTACTACTCACAAAATTTGTTACTACATAGTTACAGAGTTTGTGTTCACTTTAATTTTAAATACAAATAAGGAAGTTGTCTCAGTGCAAAAATAATTATCAAAGTAAATATTTACTCACGAAAAGAAAGAAAATTATACATTTAATGAATCAATAATGAAAAAATATATTTGATGAATGGTTAATAAAAATGATAACAAAAGATCAATGCTCAATGAAGGTGGTATGATAATTGGAAAAGCAGCACCATGCTTTTCCAACTATTATACAAAAAGTGAATATTAGTAAACACATTTTTAAAATTTTGTATTTATGTAGTATGATTTAAATATTCTTAAACTTGAATAGTAACATTTTGTAATGTTTAATAATAGTAATTTTATTATAAAACGCAAGCTTTATAAAAATCTGTCAAACTGTTAATAAAAAACCATTAAACAGCAGCCAATCGTGTGATGAAATATATTTCTCTAATTTGCATATTTTATGATTATATGCGAATATATTATTGTTTGTATTTAGATTACAGATTTCAAGAATATTTATTTATAAACTGATCGGTAACCACTAAGTTAAGAGAAAATGCCACTAAGAGAAGAGAAAAAAAAGCAGCCAGGGAGGAAATCACAAAGTACCCCAAACTAACACATTTTTTGAAACTAGCAATTCAGCCTGGAAGTGTTTCGATACCAACAGAAACTACGATACCAACAGAAACTAGAGTCAGATAGGTTGATATGCGAGTCTACATCAAATGGCATAACAATTCCGCCTATTTTTCTCAGTGATGATCCTTCTAAGTTGCCAGATAACGTTTCCGACGCATAATGGTGTGACATTGTTTAACGGGGTTTCAAAAAAATTGAAATTGATTTTCCGTACAATTTAAAAAGAAGACGATTTTCAATAAATTATCATAATCGCAAGATGAAGAATGGAGAAATCTTTGAACGGACATGGCTCATATATTCTTTGCAATAGCAATAAAGTGTTTTGTTTTGTTGCAAACTTTTTGGAATAACCTCTTCACCATTCCGGCAATGAATGAACACTAGGGAAGGCTTACCAAAAAAATTTAAAGAACACGAAACATGCAGTGCATATTTTAAGTGCTTTGATCTATGGATGACTTTATGAAAAGGTTAACTGATATTCCTTTTAATTTAATGTTTTGTTACTTTTTTTATTCAATTATTTTATTTTTTATTAAAAACGCTCACTAAATTAAGGCTAGCAAAAAAAGTGAGCAATTGCGAATATAAATATGCTATAGTAGATATGTATATATATATATATATATATATATATATATATATATATATATATATATATATATATATATATATATATATATATATATATATACATATATATATATATATATATATATATATATATATATATATATATATATATATATATATATAATTTTGCATAAAAATTACATAAGACTTACATGAAGTTATTTTTATGAAAGACTTCAAACTGTAAACTTCTCTTGTATTTTTCAAAATCAATAGTAGATCCACGATCAATAAACACCTTGCAATTCTCATCTACTATGAAGAAACCATCTTTTGATTTATGATTTTCTTTATTAGATGTTACAACAGTAATTTTTTCAACTACCTCTTCTGACCAAAATTTTAATACATTTCCAATAGTTTTGTCGCTATTTAAAAGCTCTTTGATACAACTGTAACTCTTAACAAACACAGTTAAATATGAGTTTGATCTAGAAATAGCATCCACAAGAACATGACGAAGAAAAATCTCTTCTGGACTTACAAACACAATTACAGATTCAGATTCCGCTCCTGAAAACCCTTTGCAGTCAGTTACAAGAATGTCCAGTTCACTTCTTAAATTATTATGAATTTTAAATTTTGCCTCTAATGTTGGAGAGTATTTCTGCATATGTGGTGAATATGTTACTGCTTTAAAATTTTTAATTGTATCTATTGCATATGCAACAGATTGCACTTCTTCGATATTGTTGCATATAACCACAGTTTTTCTTAATACACTAAAACAAATTTTTTCTAATACAATGGATAACAATTTAACAGATTGCTTGTCTGTTATATCATGAAAAGGTAAATACACAACCTTGGGTTTTTCTCCTTTAATTGAGTGGCCTATTTTACCAGATTTGAAAACATATTCAGTCTCCATATGACATTTTGGATCAATATTACTAATACTTTTTGTTATTAGCTTTGCCATGTAATCTAAATCATTGTCATGAAAATCTTTAACAATTGTATCAATAATCTTGTTTTCTAATTTCTCTGGAGACTGATCTGATTTATAGTCTGTAAAGTTTTTAACAGTTTTGCTAGTAACAGTTTTGTTAGTAATTTCAACAGTTTTGTTAGTAATTTTTGAATCTGTTGAGTCTTTAAATTTATTAACAGTTTCATCATTAGTAATATTTGATGCAAAACTGTTATCTTTTTTAACTATGACAGATGCATAATTAATATCTTTATTTACCTTAATGGTGTCAATTAAGTCATAATATGGCGTGTCATCTATTTTTTCCTCATCTTTTACATAGTTTTCTATAAAATTAGGTGTTACATTTTTAGAATTATTTCTAGAATCATATGTCAACATATGCAAACATTGAAAATCTTTCTCTTCCTCAATTTGCTTATCTTTAACTCTAAACAAATTATTTTCTTTACCTTCTTCCAATATTTTAAAGTTAGTGTTTGGAATGTTTAAAACACTTTTTGTTTCACAAATAGTTTTTTGAGTAATATCTATTAATAGTTTATTGCATTCCGTAACTCTCATTGATTTATTTAGAGATATGACCTTCATTCCTATTATTTCTTCTTGAAAGTAATTTCTTTGTATTGTACGCTTTTGTTTATTTGCTATCAATTCTCGATTCTTTGTAATACTCTCAGGAATAAAAACGACTAAAGAATCTTTTAATATAGATTCAAACAAATGTTTAAGTTGAGCTGCATCTTCTTCTTTAACATACTCTTCAGAAAGTTCTTCAAGTACAAAACATACTTTGTTACCGTTGGTGCTCGCTAAATACTCTAGCAATTTTGGTATTGAAATGTAATTGCTTGAAGTGCTTTTGTTTTTGCACATTTTTTTCCACAACTCATACAAATTATCACAGACAACCTTAACATTTGAAGATTTCTCTATACTGTCAACAAACTCTTTCATATGGCATTCATACAATGAAAAATGGTTACAACATATATAAAATAGGGTCAAAGGATTTTGTGACTTATGAGAAATACAATTTTTAACAATCTCTTTTCCTACTATAGATTTACCTGAACCATATCCTCCAGTGATGATTTTTTTCAAAGCTTTGTCATTGATTGCATTTCTTTGTTCAACATTAAGAACCAATGATTGTATCTGTTTTTGAGTATCTGATTCTAATGTGGGATAGCAATGGTCAACTATAGACATTGACATCATAGTTAAACTGATGAGTTTTTTAAATAGTACTTCACTATTATTTTTTGGATTTACTTTTTTAATGCAGTAAGCTACAACTAATCTCCACCAAGTTTCAAAATTCTCATCTTCAATGTCATCTTTACATAGAAACAAAATTTTATCTAAATCAAAATCCTCTGAGAAGTAATAAAATAACTCTTCTTTTAAATGTTTACGATCATGTAACGGTAAAACTACAACTCCCAAAATAATTAGTTTATTAGTATCAATTAGAGGATTGTTAACATTAACAAATAATATGACATCATTTAAACACTGTTCAGATTCTAGCTTGAGGCAATATATTGAAGTAGCAACACGAGCAATTATAACAAGGTTGAGTTCAGACACAAAAATTGTTAGTCTATTTTCATCATTATAATTAGTAAACTTTTCAACATTGCACTTTAAAAGAGATGCATGATAACGTAAACGGTAACCAGGTAGTACAGCACGTATACCTGTACAATTGACAGTAAATATTTCAATAAACTTGGAAGCAACTAAATTATCATTGTCAGCAATAGAAGAAGTGACATAAATAACATCATTACAATCAGAAAAATTTCTATTAAAATAATCTAATCCAATTAACTCTATTGATTTATTATTAGGTGTTTTATCTAAACAAATATTGTTTGTCTCTCTCCAATCCAAAGAATTTGTTGTTCTTACATTTTGTCTAAACCCGTTGTTGGAAATTGGTTCAGGTGTTGCAACACACAACCCATTATAGATTAACTCATAGTTGCAATTACCTAGTAAAAAGTAAAATGAAATAAAATTAACATATATATTCAAAAAAATTATTTATAAAAACAATATATTTAAAACTATATTTAAAAACTGTTTATTCAAATTAGTACTAAAGTTTTTAAAATAATCATAAAAAAAAAGTAGGAAAATAGGTCAAAAATATCAAAATTAACTTGAAAAAAGAAAAAACAGCCTTTGAGTTTTAATTGAAAATTAGAATGTAATTTAAATTGTAAAAATTTATGATTTGAGATATTTTATTTTTAATTATAATGAAAAAAATAATTATAAATTATACCTATAATATTAACTGAACAAAAATGTTGAAAGAATGTTTTTTTTAAACCTTGAAATGAAAACTTAAAATTAAGTGTTTCATTTTCAAATAATAACTTTTCTACTTTCACAAACAATGTCGCATTCTTTTTTTTTGTTAAATAATATTGAAATGCTTGTTTCTTATTATTAATAGCTGTCCAATTATTAACAACACTGTTTAATTGGAATTCGACTTCGCTACAAATTTCATCTTCAAGTAAATCAAACTTAAAAACACAACCATGAGGAATTCGACATTCAATAGTGCTGAAAAAAATAATAAAAATAAATTAAAGTGTCAAATATAAATATGTACATATATATATATAGTACACACAGAAACAATATATATGTGTATACACATAAATTGCATTTCGAGTAACCTTTAATATTGAATATGTTGTTAACTCCTTATTAGTGTCTGACGGATTTATCCGTCTCTGAAAGGTGTAGCTCACTATGTGTCTAACGGATATCTCCATTTAATGAAACTGTTGTGCTATTTATATTTGATGGTTATTTAATGAAACTGTTGTGCTATTTATATTTGACAGTTATTTCCGCATTCTGGAACTGTTGTACTATTTTTGTGTGACGGATTACTATTTTTCAGTTTCACAGATAAGCTAAACAAAAGACCATATTTTATACGTTTGATGTTACTTTGTTCAACAATTTTATTTGGTAACTTATAACAAAAATATGGTCTAGATTTTATACTCTAAAGTACTTTTAAAATATTGCTAAAAGCTTGAAATTGTGGCATGTATACTTTACAATGGATTTTTATGGCATAAGTACGAAGGGTTGTAGCCCTTTGACTTATATTTATGTTTTTGTTTTTTCTCTAAACAAATATATTCAGTTTTTCTTAAATTAACAAAAGTGAAAAGTTGTATGCACTTGTTAAACTTGCTAATCTTCTTTTTGTTTTTGACTCCCTTAATAAAACCTTACCTTCCTCTATTACAACCTTCTTCACTGAAACTCAATTTATACATTCACACTTAACTAGAAACTTCATTTTTTTATTTGTTCTCTAAACAAATATATTCAGTTTTTCCTAAAATAAAATTGACAGTGTCTTAACGTAATTTATTTAATATAACTTTATAATATGTATTTGTTAAATTTTATGCATATAATATAATTATAATGATATACTAAAAATATTTATAATGTAAAATATCTAATTCAAGAGTTTGTATTATAATCTAAATCAGCACAGTTTTTTCTGGATTTTATTATTTTAGTTTTTAATATTGCGAGAACCAAAAAGTAAAAGTTTTGTGTATGCAGAAATATTTAAATGTAGAAATAGTTTACTGGTTGCATTTTAGACAGTTTTAATCACATTTATACTTGAGATTTCGTTTTTACGATTTTATTATCGTAAAAATATAAAAAAAGTTTTTTTTTAGATTATAATGATGTTACATGTTTAACCCTCGATTATAATATTTTTAGATGAGTAAAAAATGTCAGAAAAATGTGGGAAGAGTTTTAAATGAACATTGTAATAAAATGTCATATTGTAGAATGGTAGGAAGAATAAGACTAAAAGATACTGATATTAAAGTTTTAATGCAAAGGATTGGATATACTTTCAAATGAAATGAGAAGAAATGTTTTTACCTTGAAAAATATTTCTAGATATGAAGAAAAAAAAAAAAATCATCAACGGATTGTGTTATCAACGGATTGTGTTATCAACGGATTGTGTTATCAACGGATTGTGTTATCAACGGATTGTGTTATCAACGGATTGTGTTATCAACGGATTGTGTTATCAACGGATTGTGTTATCAACGGATTGTGTTATCAACGGATTGTGTTATCAACAGATTGTGTTATCAACGGATTGTGTTATCAACGGATTGTGTTATCAACGGATTGTGTTATCAACAGATTGTGTTATCAACAGATTGTGTTATCAACGGATTGTGTTATCAACGGATTGTGTTATCAACGGATTGTGTTATGATCTGGTAGAAATTGAAAAAATCTACTGTAGCTCCAGATACTCAAGTTTTTCTGATTTTGGTCAATATTAATTCAATTATAACTTTTGAATGATTTAGTCAATCAAGCTGAAATTTTCTAAATTGTGTTTTTTTTCATAAAAGCTGTGGGTGGTCAAAATTTGAAGCAAATTTAGGGTGGTGCCCTGGGGACCTTTAGGTGATTTGACATGGAATGATCAATGTACATATGCTGAGTACCTGTGTTCCAAATAATAGAGTCACTATTAAAAGACCTGGTAAAGAAAAAAAACTATATATAATTGTTGGATATAACAAAAATATAAAAAAAACATGGACAGCATTGACAGATCTGACAAAAAGTTACTAACCTACAAAGTTGGAAGAAAAAGTGAAAAATTTTTATAAAAAGATTTTCATGCATATAATTAGTGTTTTGTATTCAATGTATTTCAAGTTTTGTATTCAATGTAATTTAAGTATTGTAAAAAACCATAAAACAGTGAAAAAAAATTGAAATAGCACTCAAGTGTTACCTTCTCCTTTACAATCAATAGATTGTCAATTTATTAAAAGTATTCCAGAGAAAACGGTCATATCTAGTAGCAGATGTGTTTTATACTCTGTGAATAAAGATCAAAGACAAGGTATATTTGAATGGACTGTAATATTAGTTTGAGTGTTACAATTAAGGGGTTAAGTATTTGACAAAAGTTTACTAAGAATGCAGTTTAAACAATCAACTTTTATAGAATTTTAATGGACGTAAAATAACAACTTTTATAACAGCATTTAAAACAGTATATTAAGTTATTTGTTGCTTATTAATTCTTAAGTACACCAGCTTAAATGCATTTCCAGTCAGTGGTGAGATCATTTGCTTTAATTTTTGGTCTCAATTCCTGGATTGTAACATAAGTATGTTACAATCCAGGAATTAAGACAGATAGATATTAACTTATATAAAATAATATTCAATAATATTAGCAGTTAAAATAGCATAGATTATACTACATCATAAAAGAAAATTAAGCTGTTTATTTGAAACCCATATGTAATTGGTGTGGTTGATAATGAAGTTCATTATAATTGTCAGCAATTCATTTAAAAACTGTGCATAATGCCATGTTAAGGCAATAGGATTATAATCATCAAACAAGAGTTGGATAATTTAGGAATTGGTGTTTGCAAATTTCTATAGGTCAAATAGGACACTGTTTTCAATGAGACAATAAAATAAGATGCAGAATGTTAGGACAATTTAAAAATCAATCAGAATCTGCTAGCAGCAACCCTGCAGACTTGGTTTAAAATGTTATTAAGGGTAAAGGTAGGGGTAACAGGCAGATTTGAAACTCTTTTGTTAATCCCTATAAGTAACACTTACTAGTACAAAGATTAATAAGTTTATGAATGTCTACTAAAGATAACTTAGTTTGTTGTACTAGTTTTTTTCTATTTTTGTTAAACATATCAATGATTGTAACAGTTGCTTTATAAAGTGGCACAGATGGATATAAATTGTTAACATCAAATGAGACCTGAACTTTGTCATTAATAAACCATTCTTTTACTGTTGACACAAATGAAGATGAATTTTTAAAACAGTATTCTTTTTTTATTTAAAGTTGGTTGTATGATCTTAACAAGATGTTTCAAAAGTTCATGAGGTGGTGTGCCGAATGTTGAAACTATTGTTTAAATTAAATAACCTTTTTCACTTATATGTGCTTTAATACAACCATATAAACGGGGTGGAATTTCACTTGAAGGATATATTTGACCAAATGTTTTTTATCTAAAATCTTTATAGAATATAGAAATTCAATATCAATAGGATCTTAAATGACAAACACATTATCTTAATCAAATGGATATAGTTTAAAGCTGTTAAATTTTTTAGTTTATTGATACATAGAGGTTGATTTTTAGAAATATTAACATCTATTTTCACTCTTAAATATTTGGTTAATGTTTTGCTGACAATCTGTCTCAATAAATTAGCTCTTTCTATGTTCATCTTTTTTACATATTTAAAGCGCATTTCACAATTAATGCTATAATATCAAAAAATGGTATTTTATTATGAGTTGGAATGCATTGAGGACCAAGACTTAAAAAGTGTTCCTGTTTCCTTGAGATTGATTTATTTGAAAGACTTGTAAAAGTTTAGTAGGTTGTATTTGAAAGACTTGTACAAGTTTAGTAGGTTGTATTGAAATAATATATAAAGTATTAAAATACCTCTTAATAAGATAAAATATATTATTTTTTTTAAATAATTTTTTTAGATTAATAATTAAATAATAACTTTTTCAAATATTGAAGACAAATTTGAATGATAAAAAGAATTTCAAAAGAAAAACTAATAAAAAGAATGTCAAAATAAAAAGAAAATTAAAGGATTCTAAGTGATTCTATATGCTGATTACATTTCTTGAATTTGCCTTAGTTTTTCAATCCTTCTTTTTCAATCATTTTTAGGCAATTTGAATTGTTTTGTTACAAAAAATAATTAAAAATACAGATAAAAAAAAACTTTAAAAAAAAACAATAATATCATTCAAGTTTTTTACCAAAAAGACAATAAAGAATCTAACTAATACAAATAAATTAAGCATATTTTTAAATGCTATTTTTTAAGTAATAATGTTACAATGTTTTTAATATATCAGTTACATTATATTATCTAATTTTATTTTTTTGGTATATACTTATTAAGTAAAGTTATCAAGTATCAAACTTTTCAATCTTTTTTTATCTATTTGGACAAATTGTTGATGAACAGATTTTTTTAATGAACTATATCAAGGATATATATAGAGAAAAATATTATAAGAACAATTTCAACGTTTAATTACCGTTCACTGTATTACTACAAAGATACAAGATTAACTGTAATTACAAAAAATTTTATATAATTTCTTCTACCATAAAACTAACATCACATTATTAAAAATAATATGTATACATATATAAACATAAAACATATTTTATTACCTAACTTTTCCTTGACTTGATAAGGTATCTAAAAAATATAAAGTTAACACTTTTATCTTGAAACTATTTTGATCATAAAAATTGAAAAGTTAAAAAGTATTTTTTTAATGGTTCTATATTATGATTTGTTTAATAAAAGTTCTTGAATGGTTTGCCATAATGTAAATACCTTTACATAAAAAATTTATTTTTTATGTAAAGGTATTTAAGGATGAGTAACATTATTATGATTGTGCCAAATATCTAATACCAACACACAAAAAAAAAAGTAAGGATTCGAAATTTTAAAAACTTTCGAATTGTATCTGGAATCATATTTTAAATTGGATTTGATTCGAAATTTCGAAGCTTTGCTTCGCTTTTATATATATATATATATATATATATATATATATTATATATATATATATATATATATATATATATATATATATATATATATATATATATATATATATATACATTTCTATATATATATATATATATATATATATATATATATACATATATATATATCTTTGTTATCTCATGATGGAATAGTTGGTGATCTACTATCATAAACTTACTTTGTTTACTGTAAAAATATGTAAAAAACTTAGTAAACTTTAATTGTTTAAAATTTACAATGCTGATCATCAACTAATAGTTTAAAAAGTAGTTTGTTATTATTTTTACTAATGTAGTAAATACAAACTCTCATCTGTAAAATAATATATCTGTATCAGTTGTATATCTTTTTGTCAAATTGTATGCACAATATCTTATAAAGGAAGATGAATGCAAAAACAAACTTGACATATAAATGTTTTTATGCTACAAATTGGATTTTACTGTTCAGAATTTTTTTGGCTTAAATTTTAAGTTGACAATTTATATTCTTTAGTTTTTATTGGTCAAAGATCATACTCTTGCCATTTTTATAGCATTAAGTACAAATGCATGTAAGTGTAGAAGTCTTTAGGATATGTTAGGGTTTTATGTAATCCCCAAACGACAATGATGACAGCGCACTTAACCACTTTTAACTATATGTGTTAAGTATAAAATCGTTTAAGGGCTTTTAATTATATGTGTTATATATTAAATCAAACATATTTATAAATCTCTTATAAGCCCTACATACACGCAAAAGGTAACAATAAATAGGTAAAGAAAGGATTGTGGAAAAGATAAGTATAGAAATGGTAGGTTTAAAAAAGATCTGCATTTTATGGATCCAGAAAACTGGAATATATATATATATATATATATATATATATATATATATATATATATATATATATATATATATATATATATATATATATATATATATATATATATATATATATACGTATATTATATATATATTATACTGATAGTAATATCAATACTATTAACAAGTCACAAAATACATTTTTCTCAATAAAAATAATGATAATGTTAAAAAATGCAACTGTAAAAATAAAGTTGTGTCCTTTAAAAAATCAATATCTAACTAATATTATTGTATATTTGATTTTGAACCTTGCTAAAATATTTAACAAAAATTATTAATTCTAAATTTGGTAGTTGAAAAAGATTATATTACCATAGAACTTATTTCATAAAACAATCTTGTGATAAACAAACAGAATGTTACTTAATGTAACATTCTGTTTGTTTATCACAATTTACTTTAATTTTAACGAATTTAATGTAATACTTTTAATAAAGATAAACAGTTTATAGA